GGACTACCCATTGCAAGGTGAGCAGTTCAAACCTACCATCACTCTTTGGGAGAAAGATGAACCTATCTGGTCCTGTAAAGACATGCAGTCTGAGAAACCCGATACAGCATCGCTACGAGTTGAAATCAGGTTGAGAGCAGTGTGTTAGCTTAGCAGGACACTAACATGTCCCATCTTTATTCGCAAGGTAAATCTATAAAATCCATATTTATCTACATGACAGATTTGGACAAACGCCTTCCTGTGCCTTTTTTTTGCCCCTTAGAATGTGTTGGCTAATTATAGGCATTGACACTATCGACTACATTTTAGTGTATTTTGTGTCTGTGTCTGGGTGTGTGAGATTCTAAAAAGTAATTAAATTCCTTGGAATTTTATGGAAATAAGTCAATCTTGAGAAAAGCATTTTTTAACCATGCTCTGCTTTTTCATTCATCTCAGACTGTATTAGTCTGAGTGCTTTGGAGAAACAAATCCACAGCGACTCATGTATAAGAGAGAGTTTTATGTAAAGAAAATGTGCATCACGAAAACATCCCAACCCAATGCTGCCCAAGCCCACAAGTCCAACATTAACCCATTAACCCAACACCAGGCCACAAAGTCCTCCACCTCACAAAACAGAGGCAATGATGCCGACTGCAGGAGGAAAGCTGAGTCAGTGAACGAATAAGCATCTCAGCACTAGCAGGGGTCTCCACGCGGCTGCTCCAGCACCCAGGGCTGCATCGGGGTAGGTCCATATGGCTTCTCCTTGGGGATGTCTTGTAGGAAGTCAATCTTGCAAGCTGAAGCAGGGAACTGCTAAGGCAGCTGCACCCAGTGAGACCATCACAAAACAAGAGACCCGAGAACTAGAAAGGCGAGGCTCACCACCCCATTTATCCCTCCGCCTTTCAATTAGCCCCACATGTGATTATTGGCCAGGCTGGCACAATTAACTAACTCACAGACTTTTTGGGTTTCATTTAGCACTGTTTTATTTTTTTATTAGGATCTTTAATTTACTTAATATTCCTTTTAAATGCCTTTTGTTTTTGCTGAAATACATGTTATTTTTTAAAGTTAAATTTTCAACTGCTTGGTAATAGTGTATATATAAATAAAATATGTAAAGTAACTCTTTCATTGATATTTATTTTTTAATCTGAATACTTGCTAAAATATCTCAGGCATATAATTAGCTGTACCAGCTCTTGTGGTTCTACAGATACTATTACTGTTATTATTTTAGATAATACGTTTGCTTTTGATTTTTAATTTATTATTAATTGGGAGTATATCTATATATAATCATTCACATTGAGCAGAATTGTACAACTGCTACCACAATCAGTTTCCAAACATTCTTTTTCTTCCTGGACTCTGACATCATCTCCCTTTTACACCCTCACCCCCACCACCTGCCCCAGAACCCCTTATTCTCCTTACTGTCCCTATAGGTCCATCGATCCTGGGTAGATACTATTATTTAAAGGATAAATACAGGCTAACATTCCCACTTAACATTGTTCTTTCTTTTTCCACTTTGCCATGTGCCAGCTACAGCATTTAGAATTGTCAGTTGGGAATGGAATAATGACTACCAGTGTTATCTGTCTTTTACTGGGAAAAGGAAGAATTTTCTAGTGTGTAAGCACCTGGGGTATATGTTTTGGATCTGTCCATGGTCAGATTGTACGTGGCTTTCTTTGACCGCATTTGAATTTTAGAGTGATTTTGCTATAGAAACAGGAATGTTTGTGATGCGCGCCGAGTTGAGTGGTGCATGAAATGAACATCCATGCCATGGGAGGCTCCTGCCAGAGCCCTTTGCCATCTTCACTCTGATGTAACCAGCACTGTGGCACCTGCTTCCCTTGCACGTTCATCACCTGTGAGCGAGGCGGTTCTGACTCACAGCAACCCTGTGCTCAGCAGAAGGAGACACCACCCTTGTCGTGTTTGAGTGCAGGCATCGCCACTGTGGAAGGTCTTTAACTTTTTGCTGACTCCTTGATATTCTGTCAGTTTCGGGAGCCCAGTTTTCCCCCTGGACCTTCAGTGCAGCTCGGACTTCTTCCTTCAGTACCTCTGGCTTGTGATCGTAGGCTACCTTTCGAAATAATTGAACGTTGACCAATTCTTTCGGTACAGTGACTTCTTTTGCTGTTTGCTGCACCAGTCTATATTTTGCCCATGATCCCATCAGTATTTCAATGCAAGGTGTGAATTTTTTCTTCTATTCTTTCGGCTTGAGATATGATGAATGTGTGCTTTGTTTTTGGCTTTCTATCATCTGGTTTGGGTTCGTTTTATTTTAATACTGTATTTTGTCTTCCCAAGATGTCATTTGAAATGGTCTTTTCAGTTCTTTAATATCATGATTTCTTCCACTACTTTAACTCCTCTATATGTAAAAGCAGTTTCAGAGTCTCCTCCATGAGAGGTTGGAGACGGAGACGCGGAACAGATTTTATTGAGGCAGGGAAAGAATTCCCGGAGGGAAGAAAGAGCAGAGAAAGGGAAGGGGGCATCTCGAGCTCCTGGGCGCGTTCTGAGACCTAAAGAGTTAGGTCAGGGAAATCGCAGCTTGTCAGTGAGGAGGTGGGAGATATATAGGGCTCGAGCTAAGGAATTGTACATTGACAGAAGGTAAGGAGAATTTTTATTGCTTGCAGCTGCAGGGCCTTAAGTCAGGATGCGACCCATAGGAAGTCATCTCGTTGTTTGCAAACCTGCCCTCTGGAGTGCTGGGAAAGGCCTGGGAAGATAAATTGCTTCCTGAGGTGCTGGGGAAGGGGCTACACAAACCCGGCCTGGAGAGATTAGCTCTTTGGGGTGTTGGGGCAGGAGTTGCATAGTTCAATAGGTCATCCATCTTCCCGAGAGTCTGGGAATGGGGGCTTTGAGGTTTCATCTTCCTGGGGAGCCGGAGAACACTCTGATATCCACTTTTGTCTTCTTTCCTGTTTTTGAATGACCTTTGCTTTCTTCGTGTACGGTGTTCTTGATATCATCCCCCAACTCACCAGGTGTTGTCATCAATGTTCAGTATCAAATCTGTCCTTGAGATGATCTGTAACTTAGGTAGAATATACTCCATGTCATATTTTGGCTCTCATGGACTTGTTTTAATTTATTTTGTTTTGTTTTTATTTTCTTCATCTTCAACCTGACCTTGCATATGAGGAATTAATGGTCTGCTCCACAGTCACCCCTTGGCCTCATTCTGGTTGATGATTTTGAGCTTCTCCATTGTCTCTTCCCACAGATGTAGCCAGTCTGCATCCTGCATGTTCTATCTGGAAAATGCCACCTCTTTAGAGTGTTGAAGAGCAGCCATGTTACCCTGAGAACTATGGTGCACCTGACCCAAGCCTTGATATTCTTCATTGCATCATATGCATGTGAAAGTTGGACGTTGAATAAGGAAGACTGTAAAAGAATCAGTGCATTTGAATTGTGGTGCTGGCAAAAAAAATATTGAAAATACCATGGATTGCTAAAAGGACAAACAAATCTGTCTTGGAAGATGTACAGCCAGAGTGTTCTTTAGAAGCAAGGATAGCAAGACTTCGTCTTACATACTTGAGCATGTTGTCAGGAAAGACCAGTCCCTGGAGAAGGACATCATGCTTGGCAAAGTGGAGGACCAGCGAAAAAGAAGGCTCTCAATGAGATGAAGCAACAATTGCATTCCAATAATTATTCATGTGTGTTGATTACATATTTATTTGATTTACTATTTTAAAAGTTGGTTGAATTCTTTAAATTCTTCTTCACTAGCTTTAGTACTTGGTACACAGACTTGAATAATAGTTATAGGAACTAAACTTCCTTATGGGCATATATGTAATCTCTTGAAGAGAGAACCTGAAATGTTATTTTTGATGACAACATTTTCTCTTGGATATGCGATTCCTGGTCCATGTCCACATGTTACACATGGCGTAAACACACCATGAAACATGACATACACACACAAAGAAGACAGAATAGGACTTCGAGAAATAAGAAACATACGCATTTAAAGATTTCATTAAGAGTATAGAAATAGAACCCACAGACTGGGAAAAAAACATTCTGACAATGATAGTTTGGACAAAGAACTAATCTTTAAAATCTATAGAAAACTTCAATGCACCAACAAGAAAAAGATGAAGAATCCAGTTTTAAAAGATACGAAGGACAAGAACAGACAGTTGACCGAAGAAGACGTCCAGGTGGCCAGCAAACATAGGGAGAAATTACTTGAGATTACTCACCACTCAAGAGAGGCAAATCAGAACACCTGTGAATTATCACGTCGCCTCACCACTGTTATTAATGTTCAAAAAAGTAGAAAACCACAAATGCTGGAGATGATGGAGATGCTCATTTACTGCTTGGGGGCTGTCTTAACAGTATGGAAAGCGGCATGGCACTTTCTCAAACAATTGGGAACAAAAGTACCACATGACCCACTAGTCACGCTGCTTGGCATGTACCCTTCAGAAACAAGGAACACAGCAAGAACAGATATATGCACATCCATCTTTGAAGGCAAAAATGATGATGATTTGTAAACCTCTCCCTAACTCACCACTAAAAGGATTTAAAAATAAATGACACAATGCACTGAGCAACCCTGCTGTGTAAGTTAGGGGGAAGGGAGCTAATAACAATGGTACAAAAAATAAGAAAATGTTCTAAAATTGATGATTGCACACCTCTTAATATGATTGAATTGTATGATAAGTGAATTAAATGCCAATAAAACTGTTAAATGAGAAAAAAAACAGAATTTTAAAATGTTGATGAACAAAGATGTTAATTTGAAGACTAAGGTATGCCTGGCTCAAGCCATGAGCCTTTCAAACCTTCATACACATGTGAAAGATGGTCACTGAGTAAAGAAGATTGAATGGGAATCGGTGCATTTGAATGATGGTGCTAGTGAAGAATACTGAAAGTGGAATGGACTGCCAGAGAACAAGGACATCTGTCTCTGAAGAAGTACACCCAGAATGCGCCTTAGAAGCAAGAGTGGCAAGACTTTATCTCATGTACTTTGCACATGTTATCGGGAGATAGCAGACCCTGCACAAGGAGATCATGCTTGGTAGAGTAGAGGGTCAGCAAAGCAATAAAAGGATAGATGGATTGATGCAGAAGTTGCCATTAGATAGATTGACACAGAAGTTGCAATAGTAGGCTCAAAGAACAATCAGGATGATGCAGGACTGGGCAGTGTTTCCTTCCTTTGTGCCTAAGATTGCTTGAGTCCGAATAGACTGGATGACACGTGGTAACAACGGGACTTCTAGTGCAGTGTTAGCTAAGGGTGGCATGTTGGAACACCTGACTTATTCCTGAGCTTAGCAGAAAATCACTTGTGTTTTCACCAGTGATTGGGATGATAACTGCAGAGTTTTTTGTGCATGTTCTTTATTATGTGGAAGACATTTCTTTATAACTTTTTCTTCCAAATGGGTGTTCATTTTTTTTCAGGTGCTTTCTCTGCAGCTACTGGTACAGTCCATTTGTCTTCTTGTCTAGCATGTGGGTGTGGTGGATTAAATTATTTTCTTATCGGACCAGTCTTGTATACCATGAATAAATCCCACTTGTTTGTAGTGCAAAATTCTTGTTATACAGTGTTGAATTCAAAATGCTAATATTTTGACCAATCATTATCATGCATCTTGATTGCATGTTTGATCACTTTCAGATGTGGGCATTTGACTAATAATTGTCTTATCTGGATTTCATTGTATGCGGACAGCTAGCATCCTCTCACTGACAGCACTGTACGGAAGTGTAGGTCTTGAAATACCCTTTTTGATGAATGAATCGCCATTCCTCTGCTATTCAGAAGGTTTTCAGCGACGAATTGCTCAGAAGTGGACAGGCCTTCTCTGCAGTCCGTTCTTGGTCTGGAAGCTCCGCTGAAACCTGTTCCCTCTGGGTGGCCCTGCTGGCATTTGAATCTCCAGTGATAAAGCTTCCAGCATCCCAGCACCACACAAGCCTCCACAGTGCGACAAGCGGACAGAGGTGTGGTGGCTCATATTTCAAGTATTTACTTTTATTTTTTAGAAGAGAAAACAAAATTTGGTTTTCTTTCCTGATTAGACACTTGATAGTTTACCACTGACCCCTTTGCCTGCTGCTTTCTGTTTTGTGTACTTTCGCTTAGTGACATACTTTTTAAAGGCCCTAGACCAGTTCAGTCTGATCCCTTCCACCTTGTTTATGTGTAGGCGAACCGTGTCTTATTAGACTTTAGTCCATTTGATCTGTGTTATCAAGTTTATGGCATACTGCTCATAATATTTCTGTTTTCTCTGTTTAACGTATATGGGGGGTCACTGATAATGGCCACTTATTTCTGAAATTTATCGTTTATGTCTTCTCTATTATGAATTGTCTTTATCCCACTCCTCCACCCCCCAATTGAGGTTTTGGTTTTGTGACAGCCTGTATTGAGTTCCTGTTCCATTTTTAAATTTTTATTCTCTCATTTTTATGGTACCGTTTCTATTTCCTTGGGTTTAATTACCTCCTGCCCTTTTTTTATGTTTCCTAAGAGGGAGTCCTAGTGTGTGGACATTAGGTAAGTCTTCTTTTCAAATATGTGTATCCAGTGCTGCTAATTTCCCTCTCCACCTCATTTTCTATGCAGTCAACAGATTTGGTAAGTTGTGTTGTATTTCTCGGAGCTTAAAGTATTTTTCAATTTCTCTTGGGATTCTCTCTCATGTAATTTTTAGAATATATTGTTCAGTCCTCATATAATTTTTTGGCCTTTTCTAGCAACTTTAATTTTTGTTTCTACTTGAATTCCAGTGTCGTCTGAGCAACTGTTGCCGATTCTCACTACCTCCCGTGTATTAACTCTCTGTGTCTCTTGTGTCTAGGACGGTCTCGGCTCATAGTCCATGGTGTGCTCCGCTCCTGCCTCTGCTTTCTTCTTGGTGGTGAGTCCTCCTGTCTGCCTTTACAGTTGGCTCCTCTGAGTCTAGTAGAATAAGAGAGTGCATTAGGGTGCCAGGCACATCGGGCACCCTGGTACCAGGGTTTCATGCAGCTTACTTGCACTATTAGCAGACTGTTTAGTCCCGTTGGTGGACCACAAGCCCCACCCCACCCCTTTTTTGTAGTTTCTCCAAATCATGTTGTGGGGGTCACAGACGTAATGAAGCTAGAAGGGACATATTCAGTAGTGGACTGAATGATAGGTCCAGTTTCTCCATAGCCTTGTCAACACTTACTTCTAGTTCTTTCGTTCTTTTCTCTCCGTACTCAATATTCCATGCCAGGCTCTTCTTGCTCACATGGTTTCTTAACACAAGTGTGATGTAATTTTTAATCGTGCTCTGCAGAAGGAAGACATCTGTCTGTGCCCATCCCCCCTCCACACCAACCCCAGTCCCTGCCTTCCTGGCTTCTTTCAGTCTTTCTTCTTTGATTTCGTGAGATTTCAGTGTGATACCACTAGATTTCAGTTTGGGGTATTTATCCTCTGTTGTGTTCCCCGAAATTCCGGAATACTTGATTTTAGTGCTTGTCATAAGTTTTTCACATTTCTCACTCATTATTACCACACACTTTTTTTTTTTTTTTTACCACACGCTTTTAAAGGTTTGTTTCTATCGTCTTTTCTGGTATTTTCAACATGTAGATGGCCCATCTGATTTCCTCATCACATGATTCTTGGATATTCTGTTCCACCATCCCATTTTTTCAATCTCAGTTTTGAAATTTTTCAGTGACATCTATAAATATATCTATAAGTTCACGGATTCTTCCCGTTGCTTTGTGCTGTCGTTTGATGAGCTTGTTAAAGGCAGTCTTCATTTCTGTGATCGGGTGTTTTTGCTATAGTTTCCTTTGCTTTCTTTGTTTCTATGTTCCCAGCTCTGGTTACATTATCCACTTGTTGCATGCCATTTAGCTTGCTTATTAGCATATTTGTCCATATCTTAATTGTAGCATTAATTACACTAATTTGGAAATTTTACACAGGGAAGTACAAGATTTTTTTTCTGTTGATCACACTGAGGCTTTGATATGGTTTCTACAGGTAAAATTCATGAAATGGATTAATGTGGGTCTTCCCTAAGATTCGGCAGGTTAGGCATTTTTAACCCTAAAGTTTGCCCACCTCAAGCCTCCCGAAGTTCATGGATTATATTCTAAGATTTTCTATGCTAGTACTGATTCTAGACAGTTTCTGTC